TTTTTTATTATTTTTTTCTCATTAATTTTAAATCTTAAGAAAAAAAATTAACAAGCACCCGTGTAATACACGGACGTTGTACTATTTTATATGATTACAACATTCATTGTGGTCCCTCAACTTAGACGTTTGTTAATCACATTTACTTATATTTTCTAAAGAAATAAACTTAATGAGGCTTCAATTTACATACATACGGCTCTTGTAGTTAAATAATTATAAGATTACGACATTAAAATCTTATTTGCATATCTGCTTAATCAAAATATCTAGATAAACTTAACACCTCTCTTTCTCTTTCCTCTCTCTTTCATTTTTCTTCTTCCCCAGATTTCTTTCCTCTTCCTTCGTCTCTGAGCTCTCTCCATTCATCCTAATTTCATCTCTTTATTCTCGCAGGTTATCCTAGCGGTAGGGCTCCCTGGAACGATGCAGAGACCGACGATTTCAGCTAAGGATGTTCTTGCAACCGGCGCCAACGAGACCTGGGAGCGGCGCAGTTACCGGACCCGAGACGATGCAGGGGTTCGGTCCAACGGCGGCGACCGACGATTTCTACTGCATTCATCATCGCCCTCGATTGGAAAATTGAGCCCTAATCCCACCGGATAACCGCAGTAACAACCCATTTTCGATTTCGGCTCCTCGATTTCTAGAATTTCTATGCTCATTTCAATCAATCCTCTCATCAATTTCCCCATGGAAATTTAATATAAATCAATCTCCTCGATTTATTGTTGCAGACGAGGTTTCAAATACTTTATTTTGTAGAATTGGAAAGCAGTTGTGTTGAGTCGTTTGACCACAGACGAGGTGCGTTCGATCGGCTTGTTTGGAATACGGCCAAGAGGACGCCGATTTACTATGTCATGAAAGATAGAATAACTGTTGGTGGCTCAATGATCGTGATTTTTTTTATCCGCAATCGTGAATTTTTTTATGTGCTGATCGTGAATTTTTGAGAATTTTGTGTTGGGGTTTATGAGAATTTTTAGATGTTAATGTTTATTGTACGATTATTACTAGTTTATAGGAATCACGAGAAATTCGAGTGTATAATTTATATATGTATATGTGTGTCCCGATCTATGATTGGTTGGAATTAGGAAAAACCCGAGTGTATATTGTATGTATATTTTAGGTATATGTGTGTCTCTACCTGACGTTGGTTTGAATAACAAGAAACACGAGTGTATATTTTATGTATATTTTTTGTATATGTGTGTCCCGATCTGGAATTGGTTTGAATTATGAGAAACTCGAGTGTATATTTTATGTATATTTTAGGTATATGTGTGTCTCGATCTGCCGTTGGTTTGAATAATGAAAAACACGAGTGTATATATTATGTATATGTGTGTCCCCATCTGTTGTTGGTTTGAATGTTGAGAAACTCGAGTGTATATTGTTTGTATATGTACAAGTACAACTGAGAACATGTTTATCTATGCTTTATATACCGGAAATATACGTGATTTTATTTATTGTTGTTCGGTTGCAAATGTATGTTCCAAATTCATAAGTATATTTGTTGTTGATATACTGTATATTTGTATTTTTTTTTTGGTGTCTGAGCAGAACAATTGGTGAGATCAAATTTTGAATATGTGGAGATCTTCATATTCAACAAAATTTGAATATTGCTCAGGGAATAATCTTCTTCCCAAAATAGAAGAAATTGAAAGTATTAAAAATAAATAAGGAGATAGGCTTCTGATACTAACCTTATCCTAAAAAATTTGTCCACTCACCCTACAAGGTAAGATGGATCCGTAATTGTAGGGTAAACAAATCAATTAATTTTGCATTATATGTCTTACCTCGTAAGATTACAAATAAATAATTTTCTATTTGGAGCGGAGTTGCGAAAGCCTCTTCCTATACCTACATATCAAATGGCTTTCTTCGTTAATTTACAAATAAAAGAAAATGGTATCGTACCACAAGTAAATATAAGAAAATGGTATCGCACTCGTGTAATACACGGTCGTTGCACTAGTTTATATGATTACAACATTCATTGTGGTCCCTCAACTTAGACGTTTGTTAATCTCATTTACTTATATTTTCTAAAGAAATAAACTTAATGAGGCTTCAATTTGATAACTACAAACTGCAATGCGAAAAAAGAATAATTAAGATCCGTTTAATATATAAAAATGGGTTGAGTCGTTTTTTTCATTAGACTTGGTTTATTGGTGNNAAAAAAAAAAAAAAAAAAAAAAAAAAAAAAAAAAAAAAAAAAAAAAAAAAAAAAAAAAAAAAACGAAAGGAAAGATGGCTGCCGACCCAAGTCACATGGTGACTCAAGGTCACAACCCGGGCGTTTGAGGATTTCAGTTTTTTTTTTTTTTTTTTTTTTTTTTTTTTTTTTTTTTTTTAATTCAATTATTATATATTAAAAAAATAATGATTGAAGACTTTTGTGATAAGATAAGAGATAATTGGTCCGTCCATACTGATAAGATAAAATAATTGGTCCATACCTTTAAATTAAATAATTGAATTAATTATATATTTAAAAAAATAATAAAAAATATCAAAATTCGTATTTTTTCATTCTCTATAAATAGAGACCACTCTTGATATATTTTAGATCACAACTAAAATTTCTCTCTTTTCATCTTTTTCTTAATCATATCTTATTAATTTTATCAACTCTTTTATTTTTCTTAATTTCCAACAAATATCATATGGATCCAAATTTTGAGTATTATCTCAATTCTCAAAATTTGTCAAACTCTGAAAATTTTCAAAATTTTGAAAATTATTCACAAGAGCCATTTTCTCCTAATCTTACCCAATTTCCAGTTTCTGTAAATGCCCAACCCCCACAAAACGTTTCCCGAAATTTATTTCAAAATGTGCAACATACACGCACAAATCCTCAAAAAAGAACGAAAAATGTTAGTTGGAGTGTGGCTGAAGATCTTGCTCTAATGTCAGCTTGGTGTTTCGTTAGCGAAGACAAAATGTGTGGCAAGAATCAGAAGGGTTCTTCATTATGGTCACGCATAGCTCAAATGTTTGAGCAAGCTCGATTAGAAAATCCAGAAGAAATTGGTAAAAGAAACTTGGATTCAATGAAAGGGCGTTATAAACGCCTTAATGAAAATATAAACAAGTGGAGAGGAGCTTACATGGAAGCATACAGGAATAAAAGGAGCGGAATGAGCATGAAAGATGTTGAAAAAGAAGATCATATAATTTATGAAGCTGGTGGTAGCAAGTTTACAGACTTGCATGTTTTTGAAGAAGTCATGCGAAAGCATCCCAAATGGGAATTAAAATTAGACCGTGATTCAACTCGTTCTCGCCCTGAAGATGAAGCGAGTAATGAAGAAAGTCATGGCAGTTCCAAAAGATCAAGGACTACTGAAAATGGAGATTATTCAATTCCCTCAAATCAAGAAACACCAGTTAGTGATGGTTTTGTGATTCCACGTCCCGAAGGTAGAGATAAGGCGAAAAAGAAAGGAAAAAAGGTAGCATCACAATCTTCTTCCATTCCTGATGAGTTCACTGCAGAAATTCGTGCATTAAGACTTACAAGAAAGAACGAATGTGATTTAATGACAAAAATATCGAACGATAGGATGGAGTTGGAACGCAAGAAAGAAGAAAGGAAGATTAGGAAAATGAATATAATGGTGTTGAATACGCTGTTGGCAAAAGACCACTTATCGCCGGAAGATGAAGAGATGAAACGTCATTTAACTTCAATTTCATTTGGAAAGTAGATGTAATTTATTATCATGCAGCTTTCATTTTATGTCATTTTAGTTATTCTGATGTAAGCTTTTCAATTCCTGTAATTCAAGTTATTCAATAAAAGTCTATTTAGTAAGTATTTTTCTCTAATCTTTTTCAAAAATCACATGTCACTCCATGATTGTCCTATCCACTAGTATAATAGTCACATATAAAATCAATGGCCAAGAGCTATTTGGAATATAGTGTGTGAGTTATTACTTAATAAATTATTTAATTTATCTTATCTTATCTTATTCAATAAATTATTTAATTTATTTTAATATATAATAAATTCAATTATTTATTTTATCTTATCTTATCTTATCAACATAGAAGTATGGACTCCAATTACTTAATTCATACCACATTCCTATATAATATGGTTGAATTCAGATCAAATTGATATCAAAATAAGCTCATATATATCTTCTTTATATCAATTATAACTTTGTTTTTTTGTAAGACACTTCGTTCTTGTTCCGAAATGTCTTCGACTGAAAACTCATCTGAAAATTCAAGTTCTAGTTCTGAAACTTCTAATTTCATCGAATTTGATGAATGGGAAGAACGAGTGATTCAACAAAATCAACAACTTGATCGTATTATGGAAGATATGATTGTTCGTATTCCAAATATGACCTTACAACCAACAAATCCCGCTCCTAGAGGTAGAAGACAAGTCATTGAGAGGCAACGAGAGAGAGGAGAGGAGAATGTGTTCAATGACTACTTCTCCGACAATCCAACCTATCCTGAAGAGGTATTCCGTCGGAGATTTCGCATGCGTAAGAATCTTTTTCTTCGTATAGTGAGCGAAATCACCACCAACGACGAATATTTTCAACAAAGACGCGATGCAGCCGGTAGACTGGGCATTTCACCATTGCAAAAATGTACTGCAGCCATAAGGGTGTTGGCCTATGGAACATCAGCGGATGCTGTTGATGAATACTTGCGAATAAGTGAAGCTGTAACGAGGGAATCTCTCATGAAATTTGTAGAAGGCGTCATTTCTAACTTCGGCGGCCAATACCTCAGAAGGCCTAATGAACAAGATTTGGCAAGAATACTTCATGCGGGGGAGCAACGTGGATTCCCAGGAATGATGGGAAGTATTGACTGCATGCATTGGGGATGGAAAAATTGTCCTACAGCATGGGCTGGGCAATATGCTGGAAGAAGTGGAAAACCAACAATTATTTTGGAAGCTGTTGCATCATATGACTTATGGATATGGCATGCGTTTTTTGGAACACCAGGTTCGTGCAACGATATCAATGTACTTCACCAATCTCTTGTTTTTGATGATATTTTGGAAGGTCGTGCACCAGAAATTAGCTACGTTGTGAATGGTCAACAAAGAAATATGGGATATTACCTCACTGATGGTATATATCCTTCATGGGCTGCATTTGTTAAATCAATTACTTCTCCGCAACTTCGAAAGCACAAGTTGTTTGCTCAGCACCAAGAGGCAGCTAAAAAAGATGTTGAGCGCGCATTTGGTGTTCTACAAGCTCGTTTTGCATTTATCAAACGACCATGTCTAGTATGGGATCGTTTTTTTATGGGAAGAATTATGATGGCTTGTATCATCATGCACAATATGATAGTAGAAGATGAACGGGACACCTACTTGAATTATTATGATCCTACAGAATTTATGAACGATAGGCCTACAAACGGACGGAGGCAACACCGAAGGAACAGAAGAAATGGAGTAGAAGAAGAGGACGATGATATGCCTTTTCAATACTCGACTGAAAGAGACAAACCTATCTACGTATATGACCAATAGGTCACAACTCCGTAATAGAGAAGCTCACGTGACTTTGAAAAATGACTTGATTGAGCACATATGGGAAAAATTTGGTAATGGTAGTTGATGTATAATTTCATTTGAAATGTTTGTAACTTGTTTAGTTTATTTCATACCGAATTATGTAATTTTATGTTTTAATTATGTTTGTAATAATTTTTTTAGTTGTATTTTAAAATATTAATTTTTTTAAATTAGTATTTTTAATTATAAATTTTTTAATTTATGTATCACAATTAAAACAATAACAAAAAATCTATTGTATATAATATTTATAAATAAAAATAAAAGAAATAGTATGTTGGGTTGGATTGGGTTGGGTTGGGGACCAAGATATGTAGGTTGTTAAAAGTTGGGTTGTGTAGGTGGAAGAGAGAGAAATAATTTTATATTATTGGGTTGGGTTGGGTTGGGTTGGGGATAAAGATAGTCTAAGAAGCGTTTTTATCTCCGAAAACATTTTTCATTCTTTCTCTGCATTTCCTCTTATTTGTTTTTGAAAAGGAAGCATGGGCGGGAGTGTTCAAGGTTGTTGATTTTTCCATTTTCATTGACATCTAACTGAAATGCATATTAATCCATTAGTTGTTTTTCTTCTCTTTTGTTAATTGTTCTTGTTGCCAATGGCCATTTTTTGCTCAGATCTACTCCACGAGGAATTCCGGAGCGACCCGAAGTTCGCCACGGACACTCAATCACCCACTGGAGTTGTAAGCAATGTTTGACACATTTTCATGATTTTTGAACTTAATTGAGCTTACTTACTGTTTTAGCTGGATTTGAAGTTTGAAAATTGGCCCAATGTTTGATCCATTCTAGATAGCAGCAGCAATTGGTAAAAGGGCAGATAAGATAGAAACGAAGATGTGCCTCTTGGAATAAATTGTTGAAAAATTAATGTTTCTTTAGAAAGTTCATCACTGGAAATCTCAATCGATATGCAGGTAGCCAGCTATAATCGCACTACATGTTATTATTTCAGGAGGAGATATAGGTTGGCAAACCTAGAGTCTCTTCCCGAAGATTTGTTATTGGACATCCTTGTTCGCCTCCCCGCTCATGTTATTCGAGACTCTGTTGGTCTTGTTTGCCCCAAGTGGTACCATTTGACCCGTACACGTGACTTCATCGACTCCCACTTTCAGCGTGCAACCTCCGGGCTCCTCTTGCACTCTATGATGTTCCCTAAAGAACTGATTTTTATCTCCATGAATGAGGGCCGGGTCGAGAAAATCAGGCCCCGCAATGAATATGGCTGCAGGATTTGGTCCAGCTGTAATGGTCTTGTTTTTGGTAACTCATGGAATAGTAGGTCTAAATTGTGCATCCTCAATCCTGCAACCAAGCAACACTATGACCTCCCTCCTTTTTTCAACAAATTTTTTGTCAAGTTTTATTCTTGTTTAGCGTATGTGGCGGCCTCTAAGGAGTACAAAGTGGTCTTATGTCATCACGCGGGAGAAAATGGTGGTGTACCGACTTATGACTGCGCCATATTAACTGTTGGGGTCGATACCTCTTGGAGGCACTTGCACACCCAACACTTGTCTGAAACGAGCAGGACACTGCTATGCAACAGAATTCCATTGACGACCGAAGGTTTTGTGCATTGGGTCACAAATAGGTTTGCTATTATTTTGACTCTGAATGTGGAGACTGAAATTATATCCGAGTCGCGGGTACCACTTCCTCGAGCTCATAGAGGGAAGAGAAAGTTTTATCTCTCGACAGGAAGGTATCTAACTGTATTGGTCGCCCTTGGGAATTTCTCGTGGGATGTTTGGCAGATGGAATCAGGAACTGGGGAGTGGCTCAAGGTAATCAGCATTGATTTGGAGGATGAAAAGTGGAGGTTCGACCGGTTCCTACGAGATCGCGATGAAAAACTCATTTTGGATGAAGGGATGTTGTTTCTGCCTGTCGGTTGGCTAGAATACCCAGATGTGATCGTCTTTCATCCTCCGCCCACAAATTGCAGTTCCATCGTGTACAAGGTTCGTACGCGGGAAACCTATTCTGTCGAGTTATCGACATTGGGTGGATATTATATCTCTAGATTCCACAAGAGTAGTCTGTTGTCGGTCGGCTGAAGCCAAACATTGAGTATTTATATTTTATTTTTCTTACTTGTCATTTTTCTTGCGTACAAGCAATCTAATGTACGAGTTGTGTTATGAAAAGTTTCTTAATTTGCCATGTATTGAGATTGTGATGTTCAGTTTTTGGATGAGTTTTTTTTTTTTTTTTTTTTTTTTTTTTTTTGAATCGTCTTTTCATTTCTCTTGATATCTACGTTTGGGGGACTTGTGTTAAGATATGAATAACATATATAAACACACACACACACACACACACACACACACACACACACACATATATATATATGTGTGTGTGTGTGTATATCATACATATTCAAATTGATATTTTTTTGAGTATTGGTTACAGTCTCTCTTCTTGTTTTGGCCCCTCGCGACCAAGATCGATGAAATGAACGAATATGAAATAAAAATCTTGTAAGGACATTTGCTTTCTAATTGTTATAGTACACCTTGGTCCTTACTTTCTAATTGTTATAGTACACCTTGCCTCTTGGTCTTTGATTTCATGGCTTTGGCTTTCTCTGGCTTGTTTGCTTACTCAAGAGGGCTTTATATTATTCAATAGCAATAATTTGTTTGGCTTTTGTCCTTAATGTTTTATTAAAGAGATTTGTTAAATCTTTTTCGACTAGCTTTTATAGGATAGTAAAAGGAAAATGAATGTAGCGTGACCGCGTGAGTAACTATATTACTCAGGAAAATGAATGTCTTTAACCAAGTGAATGAGAAAGCAGGTTTTTTTTTTTTTCTCTGATTATATGTTTTTTTAAAGAAAATAAATGAGAGACTTTATTTTGAATTTTGATAAATTTGTCAACAGATCTTCGCAGAGGCTGAGAAGTTGAACGATGAAGGCTACGTACCAAATGTTTCGAATTATTAAACACAAGCACAACAACATGTGTTTCGCTCCCCATTTCATTGGAATGAAGCTTGTTTACAGTTTGAACTTTAATTGACTTTATTTGCTATTTTAGCTTTTGATGTTAATGCATGCATTTCCCAAGTTTGCTACTTACAAAAAGAAATGTCGGCATTCAGCTCTCCTATGGTCTTTTTTCCCCCTATGATGATAGAAATGTGAAAATTGGTCTGGTCTGCGTGTTGTCTCCTTTTCATTTCAGACATGCCCTTGTTGTCGAGTAAAGTTCTTACAAAAAGTTCATAGCAAGAAACCTCAACGGATATGCTGTATGCAGGTGGTTGGCTGCAATCACATTCCATAGTATTATTTCATTGTTTTTTTTGATTGGTTTATATCAGGAAAAAATCGATTTTGAGACTGCCTACTAATGTTTCTTCTTCGTCTTCCTTAGATCCAACACGTGTCAACCAAATATCTTCTATGCCCAGGTTTTGTTTTTATGTACAAGAATGTTAATGTCTTAATCCAGTTGTTCTTCTGTTTTTGCCAGTTTGGGTAATGAAAGTTGATTTCTTTGACGTTAATATTACAGGGCTTTTCTGTATATATATAGATGGTTCTCGACTGGAACAGAGTGTGATTATATCATATATATCTGGTTTGTGTTTTTAATATATTTGTGTTGGTGTGTAACTTCGATTTATATGAAGGACTTAACTGGTGAGGTGTTGTGTTTTGATTGTTTTCTTGTCTTTCCCATTTGGATGAACAACTGAAGTTAGATTTCTTTTGTTTTTTTTTTTTTGTTTTT